CTAGTTCTCAAAACCAGGACAATGCCATAATAGTGACTTTATCTTTAGTGACAGGTGAGTGATCCCAAAGGGCAAGGTTTGAAGAGCAGGTATCAGAAAAATTAACTGGGAAGCATTTCAAGTTTTATCTGAGTGGATTGTGACATGCCACTACAGAAACAAGTATTGCATTTCATCCTGTGCAATAACAGCAGCAGATTTTTTGAGTACCTTTGTGATTTTTTTGATATTACAAAAAAAAAAATAAAAATGCAATGACATCTTTTAAATGGAGTTTCTCTGATGCCTATATTCCTCAGTAGTGGTAGGAGTGCATGATTCTTGAACTAGTTTTGACTGCATGGCATAGGGGTATCTGACAGAGCAGAAAAGAGGGTATTTATAGCAAATCTGGTCTTGAAATTTTGGGACAATGTCTGAGTGGAATGTGGGAGAACATGCTCCTCCTACCCAACCCCAAATTCAACAAAACCCCCATCCTGCCAGGCCCTTACAAGAGAGTATGAGCATTTTGCAAGGAGGGAAGACATTGGAAATTATATCCCAGTCAGTCTCACATCAGTTTCTAGCAAGATTATGTGGGAGAGGCCTCTGAAAAAAAGTCAGCTGGGACAAAATGAGCATGGAATTAGTAAAGGCAAGGAGCACTGACTTCTGGTCTTTCAAAAAGAGAAGCCTGTCTCCATGAACAAGAAGAGTGTACGTTCAAGGTTTTTGATGTGATCTCCTATGCTGCATCCTTATAACTCGATCTGAGAGAACAAAGCCATTGTCTCAGAAAAAGAATTCAAGGTTGTCACAAAGGCACATAAGGCCCAAACATAAACCTAACTATATGTAATAATTTTGCTGAAATTAGCAAAGGCTAATTTGATCTTGATTATTATAGAGTCAGAGAAACAGTGATAAAAGAAATATACTGAAGATTTGCTTTTGTCAAGATTGATCCAGGTTTGGAAATAAAACAATGTAAAATAAAGCTCTCTAAATACTTACAAAGCTATTCAGTCTCTTGAGTAAAAATCTAGACAAAAAAACTACCTGAAAGAAATCTTGCTTTGAACTCCACCTACAATTTCTTAATTCATATAGAATCACATATTTTAAAATACAAGATAAACACGAAGTTTTCAGAGTTTCTCATGTTCAGTAAGAAGTTCATATATATTCACTATTTCTTGTTTTCTTGACATTCTCCCAAAGACTATTAACTGAATTACTATATTCCGTGTTCTAATTTCAGAGAATACCTTTTTAAGATTATTAATTGTGGAAAAAAAAAAAGCTCAAAGTAATCCCCTCTACTTTAAGGGACAATGGGTTACTTCTTTTTATGTAATGGAAACAATTTAACAAAGAGAAGACTGGATTTTTTTTCTGCCCTTAAAAACTGTATGTGAAATTAAAAAGTTTGATAAACCCAGGAATACATTGTCAAGAAAACACCATGAACCACTTTTATTGTTATATGACATACTAATAAGACTGTACTTTGATTGTTTCAATTCTGAAGTGCAGCAGTATGGATGCAGTAACATGATAACGAAAACATTTAATTCAGAAGAACTGAAATATTGAAATAATTCAGGATGTTGCATTATGTGTTATTTGATTTCATACATCAAATTAAAAATACACTAAAATAATAAAGTTTGCATCATATCAATGCAAATTATATAAACATGGGAAATATAACATTGTCTGGACAAAACTTGCTTGTTTCAGGCTAGCAATTTGATCAAAAGTATATAGCTAGACTATTCATAGCCAAAATGTAATTCTCCGTAAGGTTCATTTCATAGGGTACACATGCCCTGGTTTTGGGGTTATAAAGATATCAATTCAGGATCAAATGAGCCCTTACCTGCCCAGGGTCTGATGCATCATTTAAAATTCTGACATGCAGAGAAGCCATTTGATGAAAATATAGAAGTTTCTTCTCTGTGAAAACAGAACTGGGGGTAGGAACCCATAGTTCTGCAGACACCACTAACTATGTACGGTAAAAAGGGCAAAGCAAAGGGCAAAGAGGAGCAGGGCAAGGGGAACAGCACACTTTGAGTAGCCTTCTCATTTACACAACTTCTACACAAAAGAAAATATTCATTTTAGTCAAGACCTGGCTTTTTCACTACTACCTTTGGAAATAAAGTTTTGTACTGTCAGAAGTAAATGTCACTAGAAGTTTTCTTTTGTTTTTAAGAATTCACATATATTTTTTTTCAACTGACTTAGATTTAAGTATTTTAGCATTTGCTTTGAATATTCAGGGTCTCAAGGAAGCAACCACAAGATAAAAGGCAGTATTTCAACTTGTATACAAAGTTCAATACCATTCTCTTGATAAAGGCAGTTTTAGTCTGCATTTAACACTACATAAATTTGGTCATCCAGGTCTACAGCAGGCAAGTGGTCATCATGTGCTTATATGTGAGCTTTACACTAGCAAATCTAGCCACACTCACCCTTAAACTGCAGCAGCAGAGAGCTCAGCTCTGTCTACCTACTCAACAGACTGCTGGGCACTCTTATCAGTAGCAATTCACTATCAGAGGTAAATGCTTCCCCCTCAATAAACTATTATCACTTTCAGATCAAGCTTACTAAAAGGTAGCACCAGCAAATGTTCAAGAATTCCAATAATGCCTCCTAGTCATAGCACAGCACAGCTGCTGCTGTACCTCACTGCTAACAGCTCTGACCTTCCCACCCCACTCTGCCCTGTGCTGCAGTGGGAGGAGAGTGAAGGTCTGACCTACTCAGAGCTCCTGAGAGCCTCCAAGGAGCTCCCTCAGAGGCCATTCCACAAACCATGGTCTGCAGTGCAGAGGAAATATACCGGTCCTGCAAAGTTACTGCTGAATAAGTTATCAAGGAGTTAATCAAAAATGTCACTTTAATGGATGTCTTCTTTCATATGGGAATGAATGTGGGCTTAAAGCATTAGCTCTCCTTCTAGAAGATAAGCAATGAGTTGTTGATTTCACAGAATAATTTAGCTCCGGTATACATCAAACCTAAATCATTATAAAGGCAGAAAAAAGCATTTCTGTCTGAATTACCCAAAGTAAACACTAATAGCTGGTGAGCAGGATAGCTGCTCAGAATCTACTATCAGTATTGACTTGGTCACTACTGACTGTGATGAGGGCTCAGAAAACCTAGCTTACTTTTAGATTTCAACAGCACTGTGGCCACTTTTGTAAGTGCCAAAACAGCTCATGTCACATGCAGATGCCATAATGCTGTAGAATAACCCTGCAGAGACATAACAAAACTCTACTGCTAAGCTGGATACAGCTCCAGAGGTTTCTTTCTTCTTTCCCTCGTGGCATTCCTATTTGCATACAGAAGTTGCTGAACTTTAGCACAACTACTGAGCAAGATGGCATAAGACTGGAAAGTGAATGTAGTTCAAAAGTCCTGCAAGATGAGAACAAAGCCGGTCTAAATACTTCCTGTTTACCCAGGTGACAAGTGCCTTAAAGTTAATACATATAAGTAGACCTCGAACTCAAAAAATATTTTACTTGAATTATTTTGTCCAGTAAATGATCAACTTTATTTTCTGCTGGCTTGAGAATATTTACTGACAAGTGTAATTTTTTCTTGAGCCTCACAGGACTATTAGAACCTTATGTTGGGTATCTGGTAGAGTCTCCATCCTTTCCTTTACAATAATTATGCATTAAATATGCATAAAATGCATTTTTTTTTTCCTGAAATTTGTTAGCAGTTAAATTAAATTAGGACCCTACTGAAGTCTCATTACTATCACTTGAAACAAAAGTTTCCATCTTCTCTTTAATAGAACCAATGTTCTGCAGTATGAAGCACTGGGCAAGAAAATATTCCAAATCACACTGTCCACTCACTGAAAAGAAATGGAAAATATGCACGCATCATAAGTAATGTTCTGCAGCCTTGAATGAAAAATATGCTCCCTGCAAAGTTATTTAAATATTATAAAAGTTTTCATTACCTAAGTCAATACTGCTACTTTATCAAGCATTGAAAGATCTTAGCTTTACAGAACAAGAGGATGAAGAGACTATCTCAAGGATTTATTATCACAAGAGCAAATTAATTAAGAGAAATGGGAAATTGTCATCTCATTTACGAATGTACTCAGACTTTTCAAGACAGATTTCAACAGACAAAATTTTCCACAAAGGAATTTAGGGTCAACATACTTATGATTCCTGTCAAATGTTGCAGTATGCACACTAAAATTCCTTTCAGATGATTGACTGAAAGCCAGTATAATATTCTACTCAGATCATAGGTAATCACTCTCACAGTAAAAAATGATTTTTCGAGCATTTCAATATTTTTTTAAATTAATTGACAATGTTAATATAGACAGTGTAACTGAATAAAAACAAAAGAGTTAAAATGACCTAACTGAATTTCATAGTTAAGAATTTCTTGCTTTTCCTTTTTTCTCTGTAATAACATAATGCTATATGATAATTTCATTTCAACATTTTAAAGAGTTTGCTTTGAAAAATTAAATCCTAGAGACATTACACAGTCCAGCAGGATTTCCTCTATCTAATAAGTAAAATAAACCCAAACAAAAATTAAAAGTAAAAAAAAAAAAAAGGAATAATAAAAAGAAATAATGATAGCTAGCGATAAAAAGAACAAAACTATTCCTTATTTCACTGAATTTTGAACTTATCATCACTCTTGTTTTTCTGGACTTTAGACCAAATGAGAGTCAAATGTTCCATTCCTAGTGTTGAGGTCCTTTGAAGTATAAAATATACATGCTTTGAATCTCCTTTTTTTATGATAAAACGTTTCTTTTAAAAAGTAATCAAGGTTTCAGAAAAAAAAATTGATATGAAGGAAGCTTTCACTGTTAAGATATTCTCAAAGCAAACCTCTACTGATTGCTAATCTAAGAGGTGCAAGAGTTAAACCTTGTAGTTTGAGACTGAAGAGATAAATTTATTTTAGCTGCAAATGAAGAAATAAAGATGAAAAATACCTACCTTTCGGGAATGGATTTCTCTCACATATAGTGGAAGTAGAAATTCAGATATTCCTTCAAGTCGTATTCCTTTTTTAGTGACTCTCAAATTTCCCATTCCATCCTACAATCAATAATATATATATATATTCACTTTAGGAAATAACCTTATCCAGAACAACCTAAAAAGAAGACAGTAGTTGGCTTAACCACTAAAAATAATGAGTGCTGTCCCCCTGTCCCCAGCTGCTCTCATGATCTTGGGCAGGAGGTAGAGGGGCACATTTCTAGCCAGAGCTTCACCTAGGGCTGAAGTATTTAACTTGATGGTGACCTGCATACTTTATTTCTTGGATGAACCTAATGCCAAAGTACAACTGTGGATCATCATTATTCCATGTGTAGGGTGAAAGCAGATTCTGAATTTTACAATTACTCAATTAAAAAAACTAGTTAATTTTCTCTATATATATATGCAATATTTTTTTACACTAAAGCCATTTCAATCCAGCCTTTTTGTTTTTCCTGGTGATTAAAATGCATAGGATAATATCATGTAGGAAGAAAGAAAATAATTTTTAGTAGTTGCTCATCACTACTAAGAGCCTATTGCAGATGAACAACTTCAAAAATGCTATTTTGATTGTGTTTATTTATCAGAATAGGAAAAGTGCCATTGTAAAACTCTGGATGAAACAAGTAAACCACATAATTCAATGCTTAATAAAATGTAGGCACAGAAAAGTGGCATTATAAGGCTTCAGCTGGACTCTTAGAGGAAAGAAAACAATGAAACATGTTTTATACTCAAGAGAAAAAATTATTTTGCATAGCAGTAGAAATTCAAGATTTTTTACCCTGAGAATCTTACTCTATTCCTTAAAGAAGAGTAATTTTTCACTGTACAGCCAGTGGAGTTTAACTTGATCCACTTAAGTGCAAAATAAGCACATTTAAACTAATTGCTAATTACATATTTCAACACCATTGTTGACTCTAGTGTACTGGAACAATGAGAACTTGCACTTTTTCTCTGCTGCCTGAACTGTGAGGCAAATAACCTCTGCCTACTGGGTTAACAGCTGGGTAACAGTCCTCAACTGCTATAGCTGAATTATCAAATAATGCTTCTTAAGAAAGTGATTATATATGTTAAAGTATTTATCTTAAGTCAAGTAATGTTTATACAAATATTTTCACATGGAAAATTTCAGGTATTTGTGGGCTTTCTTACAAAAAGTGCAAAATGAAACAGTGATACCTGTTTTTGAAAAGGAATAAAGAAATTAGAGCTTGTTATGGAATGTGTAATCTTTAACAAAAAGTAAGTCTGGATTTGCTCAATCCTATAGTAATAGAATATAAAATTTTAATAGGAAAGGATAACCTGGGAAAATACAACAAGCATGCTCGAGTTTTTGTCAGTGAATAAATTTTTAACAAGAATTAGGTATTTTTTTTATCTATTGATTTGGTTATAAACATGTTTTCTAACTGAAAAGGCAAATTCAATATTTTGTTTTACCTGCTTCTGTGGAATGTTTGTGACTGACACACATAAAATATATTTACAAGAAAAAAAGGGAAGGAGGGAAAAGAAGAAAAAAAAATAAACACAAAATACCCAAAAATGTAAAATCAAGCTTTCAGAAAACTAGAAATGCTGAAATTAAAGTTGCCTAAGAACTTCCATCTGCTGTATCTTGCAAGCACATTTAGGATAAAGTTATGTATTTATATTTGATATTTACCCTCCTGAATCTCAGCTTATTCCACATAGGGTTGGAATAAGCCTATTATTCCAAATAATGCAAACCTCAATCAGGAGCTACTCACTATTTTGCTTTCACGTCATTATTGTCTTTGCATTTGTTGTACTCTGTTAAAACTCTGCTGTGAAGACAGTACTGTCAATATTCTTCTAGACTTCTGTTCACATAAGTGTTTATTACTAAAGTTATATAGTTCCTCACAACTATTAATTAATTTTCAAAATACTTTCAGTAGCTTCATATGGTGGTACTGTTCTTTTGTTACTGACAGAGATCTAAAGCACAAAATCAATTTGTTCACTATTTTTTGATACTTATCATATTTTCTCTGTTTATTTTCAGCAGTAGGAGGTTAAATTGTACAGCAAGATTAAACTGCCAGGGTCTCAGAAACAAAGTATTCATAGAGCCTACTGTGTCCATAAAGACTTTCATTTTTCTGAGTGATCTTTCTAGGTAGTCATTCTTTACTCCTTCAGCAGAATCCAACAGATTGAATGCAGACAGGCTCTGCACAGACAGAAGCACTCTAGCTTCAGTAAAATTACATGATTCAACACAAAAAGACAGACACTACATTCTTGAGCCTAAGTCACAAAAGGTGTTATTAAACTGGAATAGGGTGACTGCAACTTCAATTCCTTGATAAACACAATAATCTTCCAGACAATTCCTGAAGTGTGTAATGACCGACATGAAATAAGTCTGAATAGTAAAATACAGAAAATAATCAGATGTGTACTATTACAACATGTTTAATGAAGATGACCCCATTAAAAGAATTACTTCTCAGTATGTTTTTTTCATCAATAACCCCTCCATCAAGTTTAAACAGGTATTGGAATAAGAAGAGTTTCTTGTTTCATTTGGTTAAAACTATGCTGTTAAAGAGATAATTTCAAGGGTTTTCAGATCTAACACAACTTGGGTTAAAAATTTATTAAAATTAAAAAGATTAATCAGAGGAAGGTCCTTCTGCTTGTTTCCCAAATAAACTCTATAAAGTTTAGGTTTCTCAGACAACATGTACAACTTCCCATGTTTCTCATTTAGATATGAAACAAACCAACACTGATCCTGCCTCACTTATGTTGTTCTTTTCCCTCAGACATGAAGAAAAACAACCCCTTAAAATCTATAAACATATCTTATAGAGATTGTAAAAAAATCAAACATCACTATAAATATTTTATTCTTAGAGTACATAAAATTTCAGTTATTAAAAGAAGAAATTCAAATAAGAAGGTATTAAAATATGTACACCAAGCATTTAGTTTATGCTGTTGTCTTAAAACTGCAGCAACCTAAGGAAGAGTTTTACTGACTTTGAACACTACATTAAAGTCAATGAAGTCCTAAACTATGCTTACTATAAATCTGTGATAATGAGAGTATAAATTTGAATCAGAACATAAAAGAACTCCCCAGAAAAATATTCCTGGAGGCAAACAAAAACACTGACATTCAGAATTTTTTCAAGCTTTGACCTGCTTATAAACAGGCATTTATGTTCTTCAATGTTCTTATAGACATTTATGTTCTTCAATGATCCTGTAAATGGTATATAAGAAAACTAGAGCTTAATTCACACTGTCTTTAAACAGGCATGATGAGTTTTCAAAAGACTAAGTTATTTCTTCACAATGTGCTGAGAATTAAACATGGGTGTATTACTTATACAGCCTGTAGAATTTCTGCCCAATAAACTCTTACAGCAGCATGTTTTATGATAACTACAAATATAAAGTATATGCTATGAATACTTCTCAAGAACTATAAATACTCCTCAACAAGTCAGGAAGCTGGCTAAAACAACAAGCTGCAGTAGCCTATCTACAACCTAAACTACTACAACTAGTCCTGGACTACACATATTGCTATCTAATGGAATATGTGGTGGTGTGCTTTCTTTCTTTTATTAGTCTCTCTCTTGTTTTTCCATCTTTCTTTTTTACTGTTATTAGTTTAACCACTAAGACATTCTAAGAAAAAAAGAAGAGGATAAGGAATTCTACACAAATTGCTGACAAACCAGAAGTGTGCAAGAACAAGCTTAGGTATCTACAAAATAGAGCCAGACCTCTGTGACATAGATGACAACAACTGGAGACCTAGGACAGATTCACTTAGGCTGGCTTAGAAGGGCAGCAGAAACTACTAAATGGGCAGTTTTGAAGCCAAGCTGTGGAATATTTCAATTAGAAATAACATATTGTATGTCAGTAACTATATCTTATAAACTCACTCCACCTAGATGAAATAACATCTCCTTGCATGAGATCAAACCCAGACCTTTAATGTTACAAAATTCTGCAAATGTATCAATAACACTGCTATATGAAAGACATTAAAGTGCATAAAACATCTGCAATTCCTGCATAATACCACAGAATTCAAAATTCCTTGGTCTGGAGAAAAGAAGTTGGAAGGTATGATGCTCCAGGAATGAAAACTCTCATGTAAGGTGAGAACAGTGCTGTGATAAATCCTCCAGTGATTTTTCATGCATCTCATGAAGTGGGCAGTGGGAAGGCAGTAAAGAACTCTGCTAACTAAAATGCAGGCTTGTTTCTTTGGATCATGAACTTACATGCAGTAGCAGAGTGAAAAGCAAATGGAAGTGTTGGTTATTCTGGACTGACTAAAACTTTAATAAATAGTTTTTTGTATTTCAAGTTTTCATGGTATTTCTTCTGACCTCCTTAATAATAACAACATACACCAAATACGTGTTTCAGTACTTTACAGCTTTTACTTAACAAGCAGTTGTTGGGTCAGGAATTCATTCTTATCAAATAATATTCGAGGTTTTCAAAAGTTCTGATGTTAGATGTGATATCCTGCAAGTTTTCTGAGTATATATTTCAGCCCAAACTGTCTTCAAAAGCTCACATTCTGAAGAAGGAATCATTACACAAAACAGGGAGGGGGAAAGTGATAATAATAGAAAAGTAGGGTTTAAACAAAGTGCCTACATCAGATATCCTATAAATTAATAAGCATTCAATGTCTGTTACCTTGTAGGCATCATAGCACAAGATGAATATGAAATGGAATTTGGATGATGTGGATGCACTAGTATGAAAAAGCACAGATGAAACATCTAAGCCTACAAACATGCCATGCCAAATTTAAAAAAAAAATAGGGTATGATATCAGGAGAAAGGTGACTGAACCAATGTAGCAGCAGTGAATTATAGTGAAGATGGAAAAAGAATACTGAACTCGATAGGATAGCACAAAAAAGTAGGTAATGTAAAGGGACAGCACTGGGGATGGTTAGGAAGATAAAATATATTAGCAGCTATGTTGTTGATAAAATGGAAGATGCACACAAAAGATTGGAAGGAAG